ACACAGACACACGGCTATTCCTATAGTATATGAGATAATCATGGTCGTGGTTGTTATAATCATGGTCGTGGGTGTTATAATCATGGTCGTGGGTGTTATAATCATGGTCGTGGGTGTTATAATCATGGTCGTGGGTATTATAATCATGGTCGTGGTTATAATCATGGTCGTGGTTGTTATAATCATGGTCGTGGTTATAATCATAGTCGTGGTTGTTGTTCTCATGGTCGTGGTTGTTATAATCATGGTCGTGGTTGTTATAATCATGGTAGTGGTTGTTATAATCATGGTCGTGGTTGTTATAATCATGGTCGTGGTTGTTATAATCATGGTCGTGGTTGTTATAATCATGGTCGTGGTTGTTATAATCATAGTCGTGGTTATGATCATATCGTGTTGTTATAATCATGGTCGTGGTTGTTATAATCATGGTCGTGTGTTATAATCCTGTCATGGTTGTTATAATCATGGTCGTGGTTGTTATAATCATGGTCGTGGTTGTGATAATCATGGTCGTGGTTATGATCATGGTCGTGGTTGTTATAATCATGGTCGTGGTTGTTATAATCATGGTCGTGGTCGTTATAATCAGACTCGTGGTCGTTATAATCAGACTCATGGTCGTTATAATCATGGTCGTGGTTGTTATAATCATGGTCGTGGTTGTTATAATCATGGTCGTGGTTGTTATAATCATGGTCCTGGTGGTTATAATCATGGTCGTGATTGTTACAACAAGGGTCATACCTGAGACTAACACAGGTAGAATAAACCCCACACCTTATCTTTAATCTCAATAAACCCAGATTAACCTCACCTAATCATCAGGATTAGAGATTATTAGGATTGTACCACCAATACCGATACATTTCACACTGGATTAATATCAAAACATTTAATCACATTTCCAATAGCTAATGTCTTACGGATATCTTATCAAGTTGTGAGGCTTACATGTCTATATATTTATGTTTTATTCTTACAAATATTTATAGTTCGTTGTGTATTGTATTGTATGGTATGGTATTGTATGGTATGGTATGGTATTGTATGGTATTGTACTGTATTTGTATCCGGCTGACAGTGTACAGCGAATGAGGGTGTGCTAAGTCCGTAGACTTGCATGGCTAATTAGAGTGCGCCAAGTCCGTAGATCTTGCATCGTTTTTCACCGTAAATAAAATGGTTAATTAATGCCTTCCTAAAGAAACCATCGACATGGGACCAGGTTGGTTCCACTCTACGAATTTTTTGCGATTTTTCCACTAAGTTTGATGAAAAAGGATTGTGCTGTTTCAGCTGCCCAGAACAGACAGACAGACAGACTGACTGACTGACTGACAGACACACGGCTATTCCTATAGTATATTAGATACTGTATTGGCAGACAAGCAGATCAGCTGATGCGCGCACCAAAGCGTGTTTCTCCTAAGGCCTTTTTTTTATGGGGATCAGCTCACCCGGACACAGGTCACCGACCCACATCGGGGCCGTGGAGCGAAACAAAAAGAACAAAGAAATTGAAAATGGAGAACAAAAAGGTTATATTGTGTTAATCTACACCACGAAGATGCCGGAAAACCAGCTTTTTAAAGTGAGACAGATTGTATAAGTATGGAAACACAGACGAAGGCAGAGCATTCCACAGTTTGGCTGTGTGAGGAAAGAAGGAGGTACTATAACGGGTTATTCTCGTGTGACCGACATCCACAGAGAAACGGTGGGCACCGCGGGCAAGACGTGTGTTACGGATCCACATAAACCAATTTTTCATACAAATATTAAATCCAGAACAAAATTCGCCGTAAATATAGGGGAAAAACCTGAATAAATCTCGGAGGTTCTTTGGATTATATCTGACAAAACTCAAATAAATAAATCCCAAAATCAAGCCAACATTGACGAGGAAATATAGGATACAAAAATTAGACTGGGTCACAGACTCCTCTGGGAAATCATCCCACATTAAACCTGCGCTGAAGAGAGAGCCTCTCGCCACAGAAAACAATCAGAACAGAAAACGATGCACCATTTTCTCTCCAGCAGCGTCCTGCCCTAGGTTCTGTGAAGGGTTTCTGTTATACTACTGTATACAATGAATATCACGATCTAGATTCTAGAAGATGAATAGTTTAATATTGGACAACAGTTCTCAGCGTCCTGTCTCACTCTCATCCTCTTAATTAGTGTGTACGTGTGGAACGAGTCGAGTAATTACTAGTATTCATTTTTTACTGTGAAAATATTGACATTTAAGGCATTTCGGTTCACTGGTGTATAAATAATTATACGGGATGAACGGGAATTTTCAGACGTCTTCAACATTCGACTTGTTCATTGATCATTGTCCTAAATACCTAACTATGTCCAGAACTTTATATATAGCGTCTGGTTTGTATGGCCAATATCTAATTATTCAGTCTTGAGAAATGTGTCCAAGCGAACATATGGAGGAAAATTGTTTGTGACGAGTTAGTCTTCAAGGAGATCAGAGTTAAACCTAATAACATAATACGCACTTATGAGGGTTAATTATTTCTTATAACACGAAGCCAACTTGAAGACAAATGTGGGGACTAAATATCTGACAATCTAATATACTATAGCGCTATCCGAATGTATGTCTGTCTGTCTGTCTGTGCAGCCGAAACGGCACAATCGTTTTTCATCAAACTTGGTGGAAAAATCGCAAAAAATTCGTAGAGTGGAACAAACCTGGTCCCATGTCGATGGTTTCTTTAGGAAGGCATTAATTAACCATTTTATTTACGATGGAAAACGCACCCTAATTAAACATGCAAGTCTACTTGCCGCACCCTCATTCGCTGTACGCTGTCAGCCGGATACAATACAGTGCAATAAAACACAATACCATACAATACCATACCATACAATACAATACACAACGAACTATAAATGTTTGCAAGAGTAAAACAAATATATAGACATGTAAGACTCACAACTTGATAAGATATCCGTAAGACATTAGCTGTTGGAAATGTGATTAAATGTTTTGTTACTAATCCAGTGTGAAATGTATCGGTATTGGTGGTACAATCCTAATAATCTCTAATCTGATGATTAGGTGAGGTTAATCTGGTTATATTGAGATTAAAGATAAGGTGTGGGGTTTATTCTACCTGTGTTAGTCTCAGGTATGACCCTTATTGTAACAATCACGACCATGATTATAACCACCAGGACCATGATTATAACAACCACGACCATGATTATAATAACGAGGACCATGATTATAACAACCAGGACCATGATTATAACAACCACGACTGTGATCATAACCACGACCATGATTATAACAGCCACGACCATGATTATGACAACCACGACCATGATTATAACAACCACGACCATAATTATAGCAACCACTACCATGATTATAACAACCACGACTATGATCATAACCACGACCATGATTATGACAACCACGACCATGATTATAAACAGCCACGACCATGATTATAACAACCACGACCATGATTATAAGAACCACGACCATGATTATAACAACCTCGGTAAACTGTACCACCGGACTCGCCACCGGGCACGAAGTGCCCACGATCACTTGTGTTATTCTATACGTAGGAAAACTATCTAATTGATAGTTTAATACTGCTGCCCTCGGTCTCCTGTCGGGAGAGACAAACAATATAGCCACAACTCTTTAAAACGTGAAGGAAAGATATTGATTATATTTCATTCTCACGTGGGACCTCGTATGTTACTCCAGAATCCACCAACACGGGCATGTTACCCGCCGGAAGTGACGGGGAAAATTAGGTCAACCATTAATAATCAAATTTTCCTCTATAAACGATCTCTACATCTGGCTTCAAAAACTTGATCATATTCATTATGAAAATAGATAGCAATAATGCTCCAAGCACCACATAAAACAATCGAACCTCTTGACCTTATATATTACGACTGCTAGATAAGGGTAGTCAAAATTTGTTTTTGTACAACTCCTCCCCCCCCCCCACATTCCGTCTTCATGTACCGTACACGTGAAGCGGTAACCCGAAGGGACATTCTTTATTTGTTTTTTGTTTGTTTTCTTGCTCTTCTAGGTGATATCACACAGTGTTTCAACTAGGGGCTAAACTTGTCTCAGTAGTGACCAAGTGCTTAGGAAAAATATTTTGTTACTCATATTAGTTCATGGCACAGCAGGCGAGGGTAATATTCATTGGACGCACTTGTGGAGAGTTGAATATTTGAATTGTCTATAAAAATAAAGTGAGATGTTTGTCGATGAGAAAAGATACTTCATATTTAATTAGATAAAGGTTAGAGAAAGTACAGAACCTTGAGAAACCCCGGATTTGGCTGAATGAGTCACATAAAAAATCCTTTAGGAACTCCGTCCACTAAGGGACTATTAATGAAATCTTTGGTAGTGACTCGTAATTATGATTTCAGAAGTAGCTCCTTTTATTGACTGGCATTTTCCGCATATTTGCTACTTTATGAAATTCGTCAACGAGAACACCCGGATCAAAACATACAGGGAGGATTGATCATTTAAGTGTTTACTAAATTCAAAGAAAGACTGACACCGCTTGACTTTATAAAGCACCTTCGCTAACATTAAATGCTTAGTCACATCAGAAAAACTCTTGGCTCCCTCATTGTTGGGGAATCAAGAGGTTACCAGATCTGGGGACAAACGGTATCAGCTGATCCATGATTTGAGATGAAGGACGTAAGATTCTGCAGTACATTTATATAATCTATGTATATCGATGATAGCTACATGGTGTTCATATTTTGTTATGGAGGGAGATAATAACTAAAGAAGCGGCGTCTCTCCCACTAATCTGAATCGCCCTGACATGAATACTATTTAGCCTTCAACTTCATGCACTGACCATGGCAATTCGGTAGGACATTCGGACATGGGTAAACATTAATTCGTTACTCAATTCCAGAATATAGAAAGATTCATATTGCGCGAATATATAATCCCCCCAGTAACTGACCTTGAAGATGGTGGCAGGAAGGTGTCGGTCATCCTCCTCCACGACGGCCACATGGATGTCGCTCTCACGGAAGCGCGGGGCGTTGTCGTTGACGTCAGCGACCGTCACCTGCACGATGGAGTGTACAGTTCGTCCTGCTGCCTCCGCTGCCACTACCAGCTCATGCTGTGGGAGACAACATATATCTTATCAGCACCATCATGGTGTGTCCTGCCACTACAACCAGGTCAACATATGAAAACAACATATACCTCACTATAATTACACTCAGATTGTGAAAAAGTGCACCACGGAGGAGGAACAGTACAAGCTTATGATGGACACCTGACGAAAACCATTATAGTAGTCAAAAGTCTCTGAAAATTGTTAATCACAAAGTAAAGTTCCAGAATGTATATAAAAAATACTTAAGTCAATATATGTTTGGTGTTTGGTTTCAGTGATAGATAACAATATAAAACATCTGAAACCGAGGTCAATACAGAGGAATTCGAGACCACCTCCAAGAACAAGAGAAACATTAAACTAAATATTATTAAGGGCTCAAACCAAGGCAGTGTTGGATAATACCTTCATTGGTAGAATTTAATGCCGTTTCTAATTTACCTCTGAGTACAAGTTTATAAGACTGGAAAAAATATATTATGTTGTAGTAAAGAATAACAAATACATAAACTATGCAGGTGAATTGTAGCATTAATAAGGACTGAGAAGTGGTGCTGGAGTTACAGTATAAACAACTTGAGGCGCGGACTGTAGATTAGTCTATACAATGGTGATCAACTTTTAAAAATTACGATTGTTTCACCAAAAATGTTTATTTACTTCAAGTATTTCAAGAAATATAAGAAGGTAGTAATAATAAAATCATTTTATGAAAATATTTAATTAAAGTTCATAATATAATAACCACACCATTTTAGCTGATATAACTTATTACATAATGTGTACGTAGTAAAATTCGGGTAAAAGCGTTACGTATTGTGTGTTCTCTTAATGCAGGAACAGCATATCAAGCTTACAGGATACTTAAACCTGCCTTTGAAGTCCACAGACTAAAACGCGCAGCAAATATTTTACAATTACCAACATAAAGACAAGAAAGTAAATCCATATGATTATTTTTACTTGTTGATGTATCGATTATTATATATTTTAAACAGATGGTTAGTTCTGTGGAGATAAACTTAAACTTTCTTAATAAAAATGGGGGGATACATTTAATGACAATAAAGTGAAGTTAGTCGAAACCATTCTTGAGAAGAATCTTAATAATTTGGATATATTCACAGGACAAATGATCAAGTTATTCCAGGGCCTTAATAGGGTCACTATATGGTAAATCAAAATATGTTCACTATTTATTAGGATTTGAATTCATTGAGATTTTAAAATAATGTAAAAATGGAGAGAATACAAACGTTGGGCAGTCTAAGATGCCTGACACTTTTCCCTTACTACTTTTTAGTACTTTTCATTATTTTAATAAACATTATTTTCTTCCTTCTTTCAAATCAGTTTCAGCATAATGGTGACAAGGCCACAGACAAGAATAGAGGTGTTGTTCTTCTTGATAAATTTGATAACGTAATGGAACCAATTAATTAAAAAAAATTATTGACCTTTTTACATGTAGTTTGAAGCTTCAGAAGATATTGTTTGTTTAGAACATTATAAGAAGATATTATCCCCACGGAATCTTACTCTTATCTCTGGCCTCAAATTTCTGTTCCGGATATTTTGTTTGGTTTAACGAAAATTCATTGAGATCGACTCACAATCCGGCAGATCCTCTCGGCATTTAAGACACTGAGTGTTGAAGTGCAGATTTTCTTCCTTTTTTCATTAGCTCATTTTTTTTACAAGTTTGTAATCCTTATCATGGCTCAAAAATAATAACTATGAAAAAAATTCAAAATTTAGAGATGTCATATTTAATTGCCCTAGCAGAGCCAGGGACCATTTTCTTTCACGTTTCGATCAATAATATTTTTCTTACAGATTTGCAAGATCTTTTATAATTCACAATGCATGACTGTTCAAAATAACCCTTTATGGTACAGTAAAAGACATATTTTGTTGAAAAAGACCAATTGTGGATCATTTTATTTTCAGATTTAAGAAAATTCCTTCCTAAATGTGAAAAAATTTTAGATAATTTTTTTAAAGTTTTTGGTAAACACATTTTGGATGAGATAAATGCTTAATTGTTTTATTTTAACCTTTATTATTTGCAAAATATATCCATATTTATTAATTAAACGCTCTAAAGTATTGAAATTATGATTTTTTCAAAGGTACTATAATTTATATTTATAACCACAGCTGCACCAACACGTAATAGTAAAGTACCATAATTGGTACACCAGTGAACGTTTTTTTTTTTATATATTCTTCATGTTCTTCTATATCCCAATGACAAAAGTTTAGAAACGTGTACAATATTGTACTGTACTTTAAGAAGGTCCCTACACAGCACAACAATCGTCAAACTCAAGCAATGTAATTTTTCTTTCTTGTACCGTATGTTGTAGTATTGCACCTCAAAACTATTCCAAGGCTTTAAAGCACATTTCCTATATCAGTACATAAACTAGTTGTCAACAATTATTATAAGCTAAGAGAGATAAATCCCTGATAGTTGGGGCGTTAATATTATAATATATAGTATAGTTTCACTCTAACAGCTAAAGTTTATCAGCGCTTATTCTAAGTCAGTAAATACCCCCAACACAACACTAAACTTCAAGAGGGATACATCTCTCTGTTGACGCTCTGAAGTTAATAATGGTAGAGGATGTTCAGTGAAGGACAAGAACGGACACACTCTACTTCTTGCTCTCTGGGCCAGCACTGTATGAGAGACTGAACAAGGACTGGACACAAAAATAATCCTGATGAAGCAAAAATGTGCCAAATGTAACCCTTAGATTAGACAGTACGGTATCTGAGTACTCACTACTCAATCTCAATAAAAGTTACTGTGCAACTGTGATAATGAAACGAGGAGATATCACTAATGTGGTTGTTTGATATACAATTGACTGCATTACCGAGTATGTAAATATACAGTTTGGAAGTTAAATAGTTATTTTCAATGGTCACTTTACACAAAAACCTGTAATGAGATGACTTAAGAACAAATTTAATATTTGAATGAGTAGAATTTAATGTTGAAGTCTTCCAGGGAATCCTCGGCTAGTGTGTAGTGTGGGCAGGAAAATTATGATGAGAAACGATGCTCACCCACACCACAACACACATTCACATGCACACATAAACTCATACCTCCACACACACACATGCAAACACATCCCTTACACACGCACGCACACACACCTATAAACTATCCTTACGTAGGCAGGTGAGGTAACTCCCCCCCCCCCACACAACAATCACAACTGATGAAATTTACAATGGTCCTCCTCACGAAAGTTTCAGTTAGATGTTCATCAGGAATTGCGCCCAACTACATTACTGAGTGAACTTTAAGTCACTTTATTTTTTCCTGGCGGGTTGAAAATAAATTGTTAAAATCGACCTTAAGCTGAACGTGTTAAAGTAAATAAACTTATTGCATTTTATCGTAGGGGTGAGTGCAGATAAATCCTGTTACTGTTAGGTAATAAAAATCAATATCAGTGGTGGACACAGCCCCCGCAGATGTGTGTGACGGTGTGACCAGTACCCCAGGTGTAGCGGGAATATTGCATCGGCTATTGCTGCAGTTGCAATATGAAACCGATATAGGCGGTGTAAATAATGCTTGGCGTGAATGAAAGCTGCGAGAGGCTTCTTTATTAAAGACGGAGGCCAGGGAGTTACCGTACACAGGTGATGTAACCTTGTGATGACACCATGTTATTATTGCTCTAACTTATTTTGTTTAAGTATAGGACATTCTGATGACGTCATGAACATTACCACGAAAGGTACTGGGATGACTGTGTGTGTGTGTGTGTGTGTGTGTGTGTGTGTGTGTGTGTGTGTTTCAGCACCATCGCCAATAATGTCAATAAACAATATCTCATATATGGTGAGTATGAAGTAAGCTCTGGACTTTTGGGAGTCAAGGTCACAGTCATCGGAAGTTCAAAAAAAAAAATCGCGATAACTCTCGAACGAAGAATTACAGAAGGATAAAACTTGTAGCATTAGATTCCTTGACGAAAGACACTTCATAATATCTGAATGAAGTCACAAATCAATTTTGGGGGTCCCATAGAAATTTGGCCTTGTTGGTCAAGCTCAGGGATAGAGTGATCAAAAAATAAAAATATTAATAATTAAAAAAAAAATATGGATAAAAGTCTTCAAATCTGGTATTGACTTTTCATCGCATTTAAGAATAACGACACAAGCGAACAGTGAAATGAGGTCACGAGTGTGGAGATACCCTTTCCAGCAGTAATAGTGCGGCTGTGGCGGGGGGTACCATCTCTGGAAGAATTTTATTATGACGACGAATATTATTTTCTGATGCCGTCATTAGTTTCTGTCCTGTTCCTGTTTCTCTTGTTAAAAACACATGGCTCTGTTGTTTTGTTGTCGTGGTGGTGATGGTGGTGTCTGTGTTGGTGGTGATGGTGGCTGTGTTGGTGGTGATGGTGGCTGTGTTGGTGGTGATGGTGGCTGTGTTGGTGGTGATGGTGGCTGTGTTGGTGGTGATGGTGGCTGTGTTGGTGGTGATGGTGGCTGCGTTGCTGTTGGGAGCTGTGTTGGTGACAGTGCTGGTGGTGGTAAAGGTGGAAGTGTGGTGATAATGGTGGTGGTAAAAGTGGGGATGTTTTGGTGGTGATGTCTGTGGTATTGTTGGTGGTGATGTCTGTGGTATTGTTGGTGGTGATGTCTGTGGTATTGTTGGTGGTGATGTCTGTGGTATTGTTGGTGGTGATGTCTGTGGTATTGTTGGTGGTGATGTCTGTGGTATTGTTGGTGGTGATGTCTGTGGTACTGTGGTATTGTTGGTGGTGATGTCTGTGGTATTGTTGGTGGTGATGTCTGTGGTATTGTTGGTGGTGATGTCTGTGGTATTGTTGGTGGTGAGTGGTATTGTTGGTGGTGACTGTGGTATTGTTGGTGGCTGTGGTATTGTTGGTGGTGACTGTGGTATTGTTGGTGGTGTGGATTGTTGGTGGTGAGTGGTCTGCTGCCCTGGTTGTGTTGTGGTGGTTATGATTGTTGT